ACCAGTCTTTTGAGTAGCAACAGTATAACTTCTGCATCCTTGTACTACAGTCCTCTAAATATAAAGGTTAGTATTCCATTAGCTTTCTTGATTATTTTCTGCACATATTTATGACATTTTAAAGATCTATGCACCTGAACCCCAAGTGTCTTTGGACATTCCATCCATTCACTGTATTTACATTCATACTATCTAGAACATACCCTGAACTATCCTTTTCTCAGCCCAAAATGGATAACCACACACTAACGTTGCTTGGTGTCTCATCATGTCCAGATCTCACCTCTATGCTTTCCTCTAAATTTCTTGTGATACCAATAGCTAAGCTGTAGCTTAATATGAAATCAATTGATTGTGTAGGTTCATTATTTCTGCTGTCTTGCTGTTCCTTCACTGCTTTGCCAAGTTGCATTTCTTTGGTTTCAAAAATTTGAAAGGTACCAGGGTAAGGTTGCGGTGCAGAAGGTTGTATTTTACACTATAGCACCTTGTAATACAGAACAGTATGTTTTGTGAGCGGGATCTGAGGTTGATGAAGGCAGATTAGGTTTGAGGAAACCATTCTTATCAATGGCTTTGGCCTGTTGCTGTTCACCATCTCATCAATGACAATTTCCAATAATGATTGGCATTGTGTCCTCCATAAGAGATTGTTAGGGCATGGAGTCATGCCTGTTTCCATTTTGGTAGCTCTTCATGCTACCAACTGTGTGCCACTTTGCCCTCTGAGAAGGGGAAGTCTGATAATGTGTTCCACGCAATCTATATGAAATGTTGATGTTGTCATGGTTTAAGTAGCTGATACTGTGTTCAAGCTGTAACTGTGGGTGAGCGGCTTGGAAAAGTACCAAGTGGGTGAGGAAGTGACAAAACAAATGACTGCCCAGTATGAGCCCATTTGAAATAGGTTGCTTTGCATGTGATGTAGGTATGGTGAATTGAATTGTGTTTGAGGCTATTGCAAAGTATTTGGGCAATGATTTTTTTGGTAAGTTCATTGACCTTGACCATTTGTATCATGTCATTAACATTTTTGTCCTTTGCTCTCTGCTTTGCTTCCACTACCTTCTGAGTCCAGAAGGCTTTCTGGCCCTCTGCAAAGGTGGGGAATCCTTTTTCTTTACACCTTTACCAAGGTTTCCATTTGTGCGTTGGAAAAACAGGAGCCCGATCTCTTCTACTTTTCAGTATTTTCCAGGTCAGTCATTTTCTGAATGTGACAATGAAGGTTATGTTCAAGGGAGGATACATTATCTTAAATGGCTTTAGGCATTATGTCTTGTCCTATAACAACATATCTCCCCATTGAGAGGTGGAGGATAGATTAAAGTGGTTAACACCACTCATCACTTTGGTCTCTTCTGATGTCTCCAGCCAATTGACAGTAGTTTTCGTATTAGCTGGAATATGAAGAATAGTTTGGCATACTTCTGCTTCACAAACAACAGCTGCTTTTTGATCTTGATTCAGATTCTTGATTCAGAATCAATCACATGCCCATATTTGAGGGCTTTTGAATTTGACACCTATACCTTGCAATGTATTTTTTTCTTTGATTTAAAGCTATTACTTTTCAATGTTTGTTAAATTCATTCCTTTTGTATCAAAAGATTTCCACAATGAAATAACCAGAAATGTTATCGCCAATAGAATATATTGCTTATTTAACTAATAGGCTGAAATTCATGATATGCTAGTCAAGACCACAATCAAAAGATTACTCGGGAAAGAAAAATTATGAAGTTAGCCCTAATGATGCTATTTCTGCTGAATTTTATGCTTTCATAATCACCCAGTGGTTAAAGAAAACATTGTCATTTCTTTTTAGTAAAACTTTGAGTATGATTAACGGTTATAAAAACTGGAAACCTGCCTTTGGCCCATATAGAATAAAAATAAAAACACAAAATATCCTTCAAAGTATTTATCTTTTTAAGAAAATAAAATTGTACTATTCTTCAACACTCAGAAGGTTTTAGTATAAGATGCGTGAGTAGCATACCAAAAAAAAATTGACAGCACTATGTTGTTCTTTGTAGCCTTCATTAATGTAACAGCTAGTTCATTATCCTTGAAGTCATTTTGAAGTCAGTCTATTAACATTTGTAATGGAAGCCTCAATGCAAATATATTTTCCATATTGAAATTTTTTGGATGTTGTCATTGAAATGTTATTTGACTATTATCATTACTTTAGAATGTTACTATTTAACAATTTACATAGTTATCTTACTACTTTTAGAAGCAATTCAGAGAAGTTTATTCAGCTCATTCCTGGGATGAAAGCCTTATGAAAAAAGATTGAATGGGTTAGGCCCCTAACCATTCAGCTTTTGAATAATGAGATGATCTTATTAAAACATATATGATCTTGACGGGACTGGATAGGGTGGATACCAATTGGAGAGTACATATATTAAAAATAATAGGCCACTTTTTAAGACAAATGAGTTTTTCTCTCCGAGGGTCTTTAGAGTGTGAACTGTCATTCCCTGGAAGATAGTTGAGGCTAGCTCTTTAAATTAATTCAAAGCTGTGTTAAATTAATTTTTGACAGAGAAGGGAGTCTAGCATTATGAAGTGCAGGCAAGAAAGTGCAGCTGAGACCACAAACAGTTCGGCCACAATCATAATAAATGATAGAATGGCCTCAAAGGGACAAATGGCTGACTCCTGTTTCTATGTTCCTACATTGTATAATTTATTTATTAAACATTATATATTCATTTTAACAGTTGCTATTTGTAAAATATTCCTAAACACTGTAAAGTTCTGGAAAAGAAGCTGTTCTTTGTTTCGAAATCACAAATATAAACGTAGCAACTTGCAGTACTCAAGTCTTTGGAGCAAGATATGTCCTTACATTTCTGTAAATGTGTAGTACTTTTATATTTTTCTTTACTAAATATGGGGCACTATCATTTTCTATGAACATTAGAAATAACAGCAGGACGTAGACCATACGACCCCTTATGGTCAATCATTCAGTCGCTTCCAGTTAGTATTCAGCCTCAACTCCTAATTTTATTCTGCAGCCTGTACCCCTTGGATCTCAGAGAACGACAGTCTCTCTCTATCTCAGCCTTAAATATACTTAGTCACATGGTATCCGTGATCTTCTGGGTAGATAATTCCAATTATTTTAAATCATCTTTGCACAAAGCAGTTTCTCCTCATCCCAGAGATAGTAGGAACTGCAGATGCTGGAGAATCTGAGAAAACAAGGTGTAGAGCTGGATGAACACAGCAGGCCAAGCAGCGTCAGAGGAGCAGGAAGGCTGACGTTTCAGACCTAGACCAGCTCCTTTTCCTGAAACTGCTCCCACATATTCTAAATGCTCAAGACAGGGGAAACAACCTTTTCATATTCACCATGTCAAGCCCTTCAGAAGCTTGTATGTTTCAATGAGATTGCCTCTTATTCTTCTAACCTCAGTCAATGGGCCAGAATATAGCTCGCTAAAAACCTATTAATTTATATAGAGTTAAAAATGGACCCTATAGGCCCAATTTATTCAGCCTTTTATCATAGGATAACCTCCTGTCCCAGAAGCCAAACTTCACTCTATCGTCTCTAATGCTAGTCATCCTTCCTTAAATATTGAGACCAAAACAGTGCACATCATTCCAGGAGTGGTTTCCTCAAAACCCTATACAGTTCAGTCAAGACTTGCTTATTCTTGTAATCCAATCCCTTTGCAATAAAAGTAAATATTGCTGTACGTGCATGATGACTTTGTGTCCTTTGCACAATCGTGCCAAAGTCTCTCTAATTATTAACATTTACAAATTTCACATCTTTCAAAACATATTTTGCATTTCTATTCTTCCTACAAATAACCTCTCACATCCCCATATTATTTTCTATCAGCTATCTTATTGCTAGTCACTTAATCTGCCTAATCCTTTTAACTATCGCTTTGTTGCTTCCTCACTTACATTCCCATTTGTCTTTGTAGTATTAACAAACTTCAATACAGTGCTCTCTCTTCATCTAAGCCATTAATATTGATTGTAAATAGGTGAGGCCTTAGCACTCTGTGGACTCTTGACTATGGCAGTTTAACCATAAGTTCCTTGGAAACACTGGATACCACAATAAAATTTGTGTCTTCAGCACTTCAAGTCTCCACGTTTAGGCTTGGATTCAATTTAGTCAGTCAGATTGTGACCTTACAGATGATTGCAATGTCAGAATTCTTTGAAAGAGGATGCTGATGACTTAGTCATGTCAACTTTTCATTAAAACTTTAAGATTTTATCAATGATTTTTCTTTTCATTTATTATAATCTTGAATATCTTTGAAACTCCAAATAGTGGGATCTTAATGTCTTTAAAAATGTTCTTAGATCAGGACCAAAAGTAGGTCCCCACTATGCTAATGATGCCTGGTCACGCTTCTGCATGATCTTACCAGAAGCAGCTGTATGATCACTGGAGCAGCTGGTGGTGCTGTGACAGGCATGAGAGGTTAAGGGCAACTCAAGATGAAAGCATTTTCAAAAAATGTATGAAATTTTTAAAAATATATTTGTCATCAAAGAGTGACCTGTGGCTGCAGCTGTAGCCTTGTGGCAGAAATGGCTCTGGTATAGAGAGGGAATGATAATCAGAGGATTCATGGGCCAGCTGAGCAGTTACAAGCAAGTTACTCAAAGTGTGTACCAAGCTTTACCCTCAGCTGAGGCTACACAAGACAGCATCCCCAATCTCGTTGGCTTCAGCAGGTGAGTAGCAATTGATGACCACCTCTTATGGGGGGCAGAATTATGTGGGCAATTGACCTGATGCCCTCATTTCCAAATTTCTTGTGATGTACCTGCAACGGACCACAGACATTCTGTCCTAAGTTTCAAATACAAAATATCTTGCGCATTTACTGAAGAAAAATGTCCAATTACCAAAATGTATAGTGCAAAAAATTCATAACTTATATTTGAAAGCTCATTGTTATCATCATTGAGCTAAATCTCTAATTATGTCCTGTTTTGACTTACAGGTATTTGTCAGAATACTTGACAATAATGATAATGGACCTGTCTTCTCCAAGCCAAGCTATGATGTTACTATTTCTGAAGATGCTGCCATAAATACTGAAATTCTACACATCAAAGCTACTGACAGGGATGAGAAAAGCAAGTTAACATACTCCATACACAGCAGTATAGATCCCATAAGTCTGCATAAATTTCATCTTGATCATAGTACGGGAATGTTGAGCATAGCTGAAAAGTTGGATCATGAAGCACAGGCTCAGCATAGTTTAACTGTAATGGTAAGTGAGTGTTTTACAGGTCAGTTCCAGAAATGTGCCTATTAGAGGGACATCTGTTCACGTCAAAACTGATACATGCTGCAAGCACTTATCTTGGTTCAATTTGGAGATGCCTCTTTTACTTAAAGTTCTATCATGGATTCTTGTTAAGAGACCACTGAAGATTATAGATTGCAGCATATGTGTATATTATTTTGGTTATTCCTATCTATGCTGAAACTAGCCATTTTACTGTCTTTACTTGTTACATTCAATTGACTGGGGAGATATTACCCCTGAATTGGCACTGAGGAATGTCCTATATGGGAAGTAATTGTTTAGAGAGAAATTAATAGTCTGAACTTCAATGTAGGACTCTTGATTGTTCTCTACAAATTTCCCACCAAAATTGATCATGCAATTGATCATTTTAAGGATAACTGTAGACTCCAAAAGGATATTAATTCTTTGGCTGAGGAGGCAAATAGAATTCAATCCAAAGGAGTGTGAGTTAATGTGCTTGGGGAGGGCAAACAAAAACTAGAAGATACATAATAAACAGGATATTGAGGCAGATAGAGGAAGTGAGAAATCTTGGAGCATGTCCCCATGTTCTTAAAAGCGCATGGCAGGACAAGTTGATGAGATGGGAAAGAAAGCACATGGAATGCTTCCCTTTCATTGATGAGGTGTGGGGATGTAATGCCAGAAATGTGTGAAACATTGATTAGGCCACTGCTGGAATTTGGTGTACAATTAAGAGAGCACTTGATACAATTGACAGGAAGGCCTGTTTCCCTTACTAGATAGGTCAGATACCAGGGCACAGATTCAAAGTAATTGGTAGAAGAATTAGAAGGGACATGAAAAATGTTTTTACCTGGAGGGTGATAAATGTTTGGACTTAGCAGCCTGGTTTGTTGGCAGAGACAAAACTATTATGGACCAGACCAAACCTCCTCAAAATATATTAAGAAGATAGCCTAAGCCCCACCTTAATGTGTAAGACATTGTGTTCTGGATGCAGTTTAATTGGCCAAACTACCAGGTTTGAATCAAAACACATTTTATTTTTACACTACATTTAAAATACAAACAAAACAAAGAATTGGAGTAACAACTCTATTGTAAAACTCAACAGAATAAGAAATTATATAACTACTAGACAGCAACTGTTCCAATATAGTAGCATCCTATAAACACATTCTTGGCAAAGGCAAAGTCAGTAAAATATGTTGTCCCAGATGCAATTCTAGAAGCAGGAAGAGAACCCCAGCTTTTATCTGTAACAGAGAGGGGAATATTAACTTCTACATCTGGCCTCAAGACCCAGCAACTGCTGAAAGCTAAAAGTAAAATCATAGTTCTGTGGGAGCTTGATCCCACCCATTCATGCTGCTTCTATTATTTCAATCTTTTAAAAGAAAAGGAAGCTAGCTGGGCTCAGAGCCGTCAGCTCATCTCCAAGTTTACAATCCTTCCTTTAAAAAAAATGACAGAACAAATCTTCCTTAAAGGCACATCTTGTAACAGAATCCCTCCACTTGTTGGAAAGGAATCTGCATCTGCAACTGTAGTGCTATCACTTGCAATGCTACAGACCAGATTCTGGAAGGTGAAATTAGGATTTTCCAGACAAAATTGACATAATATTCTCTTTCTGTGTGTAACCTTGCAATGTTTCTATTACTGTACTTATATTTACTGCACTCGTTAGGTTATTGAAACATTTCTTAAATTTATGTTCTTATAAATATTCATAAATTTATTTTTCCCAATGCTGAGAAACAGAATATCTTTCTTTGGCATCACCTCTTGCCAGTGAATATCAGAGAACTTAGGCATAGCCTAGCAACTTGTTAGTGAGAATCTCCACTTCCTAGCAGTATTGCTGACCAACCAGTGAGTGAATGCAATCTTTATTTAGTTGGTTTTGAATATATCTCTGGAAAAGAAAATGACTATAAAATCTCACTTTGGGAAGTGGACAGGCATCTTGTTCCAAGGTGATTGTGTGGATGATAAATTGAAAACGAGATCTGGGAGTGAGAATAGTTTTGGTTGCCAATCAACAATGCCAAAGACATTTGATGTTTGCTTGCTATCAAAATCTCAGTTTTAAAAAAAAGCCATGCTGTTAAGTAATAAGGGACATTACAGGCAAATTCACCTCGGAGTACAACGGGACACTGATCAGATGGACCAGTGGGCTGAGGAGTGTCAGATGGAGTTTAATTTAGAGAAATGAAAGGTGATGCATTTTGGAAAGGCAGATCAGGGCAGGACTTACACACTTAGTGGTTAGGTACTGGGGAGTGTTGCTGAACAAAGAGACCTTGGCATGCAGGTTCTTAGTTTCTTGAAAGTAGAGTCCCAGGTAGATAGGATAGTGAAGAAGGTGTTTGGCATGCTTGCCTTTATATGGTCAGTGCATTTAGTATAGGAGTTGGGAGGTCAAGTTGCAGCTGTACAGAACATTGGTTAGGCCACTTTTGGAATACTGCATTCGGTTCTGGTCTCCCTGCTATAGGAAGGGTGTTGTGAAGCTTGAAAGGGTTCAGAAAAGATTTACAAGTATGTTGCCAGGGTTGGGGGGTTTGAGCTATAGGGAGAGACTGAATAGGCTGAGGCTATTTTCCCTGGTGCATCCGAGGCTGAGGGGTGACCTTATGGAAGTTTTTAAAGTCTATGTCCGTCATGATGGGGTGAATAGCCAAGGTCTTTTTCCCAGGGTAGTGGGGTCCAGAACTAGACCGCACAAGTTTAAGGTGAGAGGGGAAAGATTGAAAAGGAACCTAAGGGAGCAACTTCTTCAGATGGAGGGTGGTGTGTGTATGGAATGAGCTGCCAGAGGAAGTGGTGGAGGCTGGTACAATTAGAACATTTGAAAGACCGCTAGATGGGCATATGAATAGGAAGGGTTTAGAGGGATATGGGGCAAATGCTGGCAAATGGGATTAGATTAATTTAGGATATCTAGTCAGCATGGACGAGTTGGACCGAAGCGTCTGTTTCCATGCCGTACAGCTCTATGATTCTATGTCCTTGCATTGCATCAGCACAAACACTTATCCTCAGTGGGAATCACTAGGTTGCAATCAGAAGCTGAATTCCTCTTAAAATTGATTTCTACTTTTTGTTTTTATTTACCCCAGTACTAAATATTGATCTGGTAGCTTAGTTTGATTGCAACGACATAGCACTGCATAAGTTTGGTACTGTTTACAGGTCCAAACCCTTTTGAGAAGTTGTTGATCTAATAACATTAAATTAACTGATTTATTTAACCTAGTTGAAAGATAAAAACAGATGATATTGCCATGCTTAAGGAATACAGGAATCAATTCTCTTACACAAGTCCATGCTAACTTAGTAATCAGGGCAAATCATTTGTTTTTAATGACTGGAAAAGAAAGGACTTTCAATGTGGGTCAGATCAAGGTTCAGATTTTCATGCAGTCACGGTATTTCCTTTAAAAATGACAAGCAGGGTTCTGAAGTGCAATTTTTTAATCCATTTCTAACAGATCCCATTTTCCCATTGAGGCAGGCCTCATTTTCACTAAAGCAAGGGCTATGTGGGAGTCGTGATTTTTTAAAAATAGACATGAATGCTCTTGCAAGTTGTAGGATGAATAAGGTCTGTTGAATTGTCTAGATATGACGTTATTTAAATCCCCCAAAAAATTTTAAAATATGATGTCTTTGCCATTGAGAGTTGAAAAAATTTCGTCTGACAGCTATAATACCTGTTAGCTGATGTTTTCTTGAGGGCTATCATCACGTCATTATGAATACTTTAAACTAGCTATAATTATTCAGCACGGAGTTTCTAAGTTCACCGTTCAATTGGTAACTCAAGTAAATTGTAAGAATGAACTGTCTTTGTGGGATTATGAATAAAAGTTCATTTATCTTTTATATGGGATTTAGAATTTGAGATTCAAAAAGTTCAAATGGGCTATCAAGAATGGGAGTATTTTCTTTTAATATAATGAAATCCATCATGATATTTAGACCTTTATTTTATGTCAGCATTATTCCTGACATCTGTGCATGGTGAATATCGGGTGAGTTGCCTTTGAGTGTGGAAGGGTGGTACCTGGATCAGCAGGATTTGGAATTACTTTGTTGTAGGGTTTGGATGATGGTATGATTTGGCAATGAGCCTATGGGCCTATAAAATTATGATGGAAATGGTGAATGATGAATGAGTTGGCAGGAGTTATCATTATTTTGGGCTGCTTATAGCCTGGGAAATAAAAGTGGACATGGAAGGGTGATGGGGTGTGAGGTGAGAGAAATAGAGGGCCTTCAAACTTAAAAACAGCTATGACAGACTCCTGAGAATTAATGCGGGCTTTTTAAACAGCCAAACCTAGCATTTAGCAGCCACTAAGATGATCTCCAATCTGCATGAGAGTTGGCGGACCCAACCCAAACCCACACCACTCATTTATATTGGAATGAAGATCATTTCATTCAGGGTGTTTCTCCTGAGGCAGGTGTTGAGAGCCGGGAAATTTCCTGACTTATGCTACTTACTACAGGAGTTAATTTACATGCCTCAGAAGTTTGCTCATGAGGCACTGTGAGATGATGGAAAAGATGACAGGAAATTTAGTAATCTAAAGGGAGTCAAGAGTCAAAACAATAGAGCAGTGTAGCAATCTGTGTAAAGAAAGTAGAGCTGGACGGGAAAGAACAATGAGCTTAGAATAATGCATGACTGGCAATAATGCTTTTAGCAAATATGGGCCATGCAAAGAATAATAACGTGAGAAAAAAATGAGTCTCTTTATCCAAATATGAAAAACATTCCCAGCAAGATGGATGATCTAGCAACATATTACCTTGATATTAGCACTATTACAGGGGTGTAATTACTAGGTGACCTAGACAGAGAAATAAATCTGTAAGAATACTTAACATTTTTGAAAGGAAAGATGGAATACAGATAGAGAAGGAGAAGTCCTAATGATAATGAGTGGTAAGAGGACAGTAGTAAGAGAGAATTTGGC